AAGCTCCTTCTTCGTTACTCTCCCCCACAGCACAGAACAGCGTCGTTGTGCGCATTGTACTGTCCCTCTGAGGATGCGCAATAATAAATAAACAATAGAGTAAATGAAGTATGAAGTCGATCCATGGTTGTTCGAATTACTGATTCTTCCAGTCGATTATGTCGCGCGCTATGCGTTACGCGAACCGAAAAATTATTTTGGTAATAAATTTTTCTAAAATAAGTCTGTAACCTTGAAAACCACACATGTAAACAAACACATAGCGTGGGGTGGCCATGTGATAGGACGATAGTCTTACCTCAAAGGGAGGTGAGATGCATATATAGGAAGAGAAAGGGGAGCTGAAATTTAAAAGCGTTAAAATATCGGCCAACTAGACTGAAGAAATAGTCCATAACTTCAATCTTCCCTTGATAGTACATACTTGGGGCAGCATAACTAATGAAAGTCAAGAAGATGGATACACTCCAAGTGGTATCGACGAAGGTGAAAGGTTCCCCACAGCTTTGGATTTTCGGGTGGGCGTTAAATTGGCTGCAATAAAATAAAAGCAGAAGATCCAATCCTCCCCCAAGGCGGCAGTCTCATGAGCCAGTGAGGGAGATACGGCTTCCGGTAGCGAAAAGGGGATACGCCAAAGTAACCCATCATTTTAATTACGTCATAATCGAAACCTGGAGAGCCGAAGTGAACGTACCATCAGAAAAACAAGCCTTTCTGGCAGTTGTTTTTAGGATGCGTCTCACCTTGACATTGTCATCAGACAGATCTGGTTTTCAGATCGGCGCCGCTCGCTTTGAACGAGGTGTCTTTAGGAGTAGCATCAACCTACCCAAGTATCATTACTCATTCTTGAATTCTACAAATAGAAACAGATTAGGCTGCGTAGTTGAAAGGTAATAGAATCGAAAACTAAAAGTACGTCATGATGAAATTCAAGCCTACCTCCCCCTGCGATTTAGGGGCTCACGAAGAGGCGACTAAAATCCAAAAGTTTCCAAGACAGTCAGGTCTTTATATTGAGAAATTTCACTCCCGCAGTATTCCCCGAAAACCAATTCCATGAATATTTTGCGGTTACAACAACAACAACACACTCACTTAGTTCACTGTACTCCCGTACTTTTTAAAAGCGGCAATCACTGCAGTTTCTCCCTCCCTTCTTTCCTCTCTCCCCTCGCTCTCTTCCCGCAAAATTTAGGTCAAACCAACCGCCCAAACAGCCGCCAATCAAACAACGCTCACTCATGCGCCAGCTTCACCACACGTTCAACCGAAGTGAACCGAACCAAGGCAAATCAAGCCAAATCAGCAAGAACAACAATAATAATAACAACAACAACAACAAGTGTTAAGCATCTGATCAATCAACAAATCAGGCAGTTAACCCACAAATCGGGCAAGCGGCAATTTATTGTACCTTTTATGCCATAAGTAAACCAAAGATATAGTAAAAACAACAACAACAAAAATATAACAACAACAATCACCGATGAACCAGCAACAGAAAAAGAGGTAAACCGGCAGCGAGGCGAACGAAAATAATAAATTTCCTAACAACACAGCAAAAATGACATCGTAAAACAAATAAAACTGCATAATAAACGACTGAAATGAAAAGAAAAAAAAAAGAAAAACTTAAAACAAGCAATGAAAATGCAAAAAATTGCCACTCAAAGTGCTGCGGAAAACCCCATTTGAAAACAAGCATGTAGAAGCACACAACCCTACACACAAGTGCATACAAGTAAATAAATGCGGTGTGTGTAGCTTTTATTAATGTTGCACCGCCGCATGTGGCAAGCCGTAAGAAAAAGTAGGTGAAGGTAAGATGCAAACGATGATAGTTTCACTGTCATCTCTGCAGCGCCAAAAAAAAAAAACAACCCGCGTCTTCGCGTTGCTTCTCTACTTCACGTCGGGAGACTGCATTCGGCGCAGTCTGTTGCTTACTGGAGTTGTGGGTCAATGTGCTGCCGCTTTTGTGGCGATTTCCGTTGCCACTGTCATTGCCATAGTCGCGGCGACGTCGTCTTCCAAGCGCTGCCGCCACAAGCAAACAACTGCAGTTTTGCCACATGCTCGACGCAGCGCGCCTGCGCGTTGTTTAAAGTTAGTGGCACATACGTAAATGTGTTTGTTAGCCCGTTTGTGTGTTTTTATACATTTTATGGCCTATTCGCTTGGCTTTTTTTGCTGCCGCATTTCCTTTTGCAATTTATTTTCTTCGCTTTTTTTTTTGTGGCAAACTCATCACTATTTTATTCTCTGTTCTTGCCGGTAATGAATGGAACGGACTTTTTTAATATTATTATTACAACAATAAGTACACAGCACATACACACACATATACGTATGCAATTAATATACATATTATATATTTATATTAGCGTAATTATTTTAATTTTTTTAATTATTTCAAGTGTTTTTTTTTTATTATTTTCACTTCGCAATAATCAAAGCGTAATTGAAATGTAAAAATTAAATGTCAATATGATTAGTAAGCTTTTGAGCTTTTCAAGTGGCTTAAATCTTCGCTCGCTTTTCTGACTGGAAGGAAGCTTATCTGAACTTTTGTGTGCCATCGAAGACACACACCTCCCCTTTGTAACTAAATTCAGCTAAAAATTAAATAAGTAAATATTATATAATTTTAGCTTAAGACAATTCTTGTGACTGTTTACTGCAGTACTCAAATAACGAAAAAAAGGCGCAGTTAATTTTCACTCAACTTTAAGAGGGATGAAAAAGGAATACAATAGCTTCTCAGAATATTCTCATTCTAGCAATCTACGAGTATACGAAAATAATTCAGAGTTGCACAAACCATTTAGAAACATTGTTTTATCACAGTGGAATTTTTTTTTTCTATTTTTAAATTTCAATTTTTGGCATTCATAATTTCGATATGTCTTTTTGAGACCAAAAAGTGATTTTCCAACCGGCAGAAAGAGGGAATATTAAGATAAAACATTTAAATATTCTCTGAGTAAACAAGTTGGGTCTTTTACAACGGCTCTGATGAAATACTTCATTTCTGATGTTGACCACTGCAGACGTATAATGAACTATGATTTTTCCCAATTAAGAAAAGTGCCACTGTCCAGTTGGTTGATGTTCTCGTAAGCCCAAAGGCAGGCATCACCACTATCCTCCGAGAAGTGTAATCAACTATAAGAAGAACGAAGACGAGTAGGCTCTAATGACATTTATCGCAGCGGAGAGACAGAGTCACCGATTCCTGGCATTCACACCGGTGAATGAGTTCCTCAAACAAATCCGTATCTAGATGAATTTATTCATCAAGTAACTAATTTACGCCCACGTCCTGATGGTAAAGAAGGGACACGTGAACAAGGATGCCTTTTATGAGCGCCTGGATATGAACTGCCTCCGCTACGGTATCAAAATTATATTTGGTGACTTAAACACCAGGATGAGCAAAGATCAGCCTCCATGCCGAAACATCCACAATTGGGTTGAGGCGGATCGACTTCGCCGGGACCTAAAATATATTTGTCTGTAGTACTAGATTCCAGCGCAAGAAAATTTATCAATTTACAGGGCTGTCTCTGGATCGGAACCGAGAACTTGACTCCGGTGTTCTGGATTTCTGTACACAGAGGACCCAACAACGGCCCGGACCACTATCTTGCAGCAGCAAAGATGCGCACCCACCTTTGTGCAGCGGGAACATATAGTATTTGGTACTCGATTTGCAAGCCTGCGCTCTGAGAGCTCTCATAAGCAATTGGCGTAATGGAACTGTATTACGACTCTTTAAGCTCTCTGTGTTCAGCTGAAAACATTTTATTTCATTGCTCTACTGTGAAATGTATGTGTACTCTGCCCAATCCGCAAAAAAGGAACCTACGCCAATTACCATGGAATGAACTTCCTCATATCGTATATAAAATTCTATCGAGCTTATTGTGTGAAAAACCTACGCAAACCTGAAACTGATTAGACCTTATAAGGTGGTGGTTAATCCACCATTCACCAAATATTCACTAGAAAAGATGCCTCTTTATATATCTCCTGTCATCAAAAATACAGTAATATCTGCTTATCTAAACTTCTAGATAATTTCTCGGAAGCAGTATCAACACCAACACCAAAGTCTACAAAATCACCCTTTACATCTCAAAATACAAACACATAAAAATTGGAAAAAATGAAATATTTGTTTTGATCCTTCATTTTTTGCCACTAGTGTCAAAGCATATTTAAGCTTTTGTGAGAAAGTCTGCTCTTTATTAATTTTTTAATATTAAATATTTTTATTTTTTCAAAACTATTAAGTACATTTTCTTATTTTCGTTTCCGAATTTATAAAAGGACGCTTAATACCTTTAAAGCGTTTAATTTTCTGCAAGAATATCTACTTTCCCTAGCAGTGGGTTCACCGCTTCACGAGAAAATAATCAAAAATTAGGCGGCGCTGCAAAAAAAAATTTATTATCTTAGTCAATAACGGACACCATAACAAACATATACACTTGTATGTATGCCTGTATACATCGGCACACAACATTCCTCCAAGGGATTCCAGGCACAAAGCACAAAATTTCATATGCAACACCAGTCAACATTTGATAACCTCAAAATCTAATTTCCACAACCCAAAGCGAATGACCAATCGGAAGGCAGTAAATACGAATAATTCTAAATCACGCACATAAATTGTGTGATTTCAATAAAGAAACACCAGCGCAGCGGACAACAATGTCTCCGCTTTGGTAGTTCATCTGCAACGCTGGTCGCCGAAACGCGTTCACCTGCACATCTAAGTACACTTTTGCCATTCGAAATTGAAAATTCATTACTTGCTATCGAAATGTCGTTAAAATTGAAACTATAATAGGCCAACAGCGCAATTGTGGGCGTTTCTCTACTTTCTTCAATGCGCTCACGTCAGACACTCGCCACCACACCACAGAGCCCCGCACACAACGGATTTGTCATTCGGCGGTGGCAGCCGTAAAATTCGCTTTTCAATCGCGCGCAATTAATAAGTGAATTTGTGAAAATCAATAATTAAAATAAAAGTGAAAAATGCTTAAATATTATTTAATAAGCGCAATATTTAGCGCACACTTGAGCACATACTGTGACGTGGCGCTGGCGTTGAGCGCATTCCGGCCGGCTGTGCCGCCGCCGCCGCGCTGGGGTGCCAATATGCTAATGTTGCGGCGTCACAACAGTATGTGGTAACTATTACATGCTAAATTGCAGAGCCAACAAACTAAAATATTTACATACTCATATACATATATGTAATGTGCAATGGTGTTTAATTGCGCTAAAAATGAATTGTGCTTTTTTCATTTTTTTGCGCTCAGATGCCGCTTTTGAATTTTGGACTGATGATAGTGATACAAATCTGTGGGAGCATTCCGGTCTATTTGAGGGTGATATTATGCTGCACCGCGAATGGTTGCGTAACGGTTTATTGAAGGAGAAATTCACATGGCCGGATGCGACGGTGCCATTTTATATAGACAACAATGATTTCAGTGAGTAAGCGAGCCATTAAAAAAAAAATAAAATAAATTTAAGCAATTAAAGTGAAAAGAAAAAAAAAAGTGACGAATAATAGAAAGTTAATACATACATATTGGGTGTAGTAAAAGGAAATCCATTATATTTTCATGAAATTGAATGTTATAATGTTTCTTTTCTTTCCATACCCAGACTTATTCAAATAGTTCCAAGCGGTTTTTTGTGCAGAACCATAAATGCTGTTCACATTTTCGCCTTTATCGCAGAAAAACTGTAAAATACTGCGTATTTTGTCTTTGCTAGTGTCCATCTTTGAGGCACGCTCAAACAAAACTGAACTAACCAATCATAAAACTGTCAGAAAGGCTTTACTAGTACGAAATGTTATCTCTCTAGCGGAGCTCGATCGAACGTATACAACGCGAGATACAGGCTAATAACGCCATATATTGAACAAAATATTGGGTCTCTTTTTACTTCGCCAAATACATCATAAAAAATTATGAATTAAAAAAAAGTACAAATAAAAGAGATAAAGGCAAAAAGTGCCAAAAAATTTAAATTTAATTTTTTTTATTCAAATACAGAAGACTTAAGCAACAAACTCGGATAGCGAACATATCTTGCAATCGTGTTGCAGTTCCATGAAAATCGAAAATCACAATCAAATTAAACTATGGACTAGACTATACAGACTCCATTCGGCTTCATATACGAAAAGCAGGACATGAAACGCCAACTCTCTTTCAGTGAATGGCGTTATCGAAACCCAAGCCACCCCCATTTTCATCTTGAAACAATCTGTCGAAACAGAATGTTTTTTGACCTTCCGTTAGATGACTACGACTAGTCCCACTTGCTCCTAAGCGGGTTGGATACGATTGGCAGGGTCAGTCAGTGACTCCCTGTGTCAAAAAAGTAATATTTCCAATATATCAGCAAACTCAAAAATGACTCCTCGAGAATTTGAAATCAAGGAATATGCTTTAACTGAAAGTAATATCAGCCCAAATACTTTTATAAAAATAAGTGAAAAACGCTGTATAAAAATAAGATTTGTACGGAGCGCCGGAGACATTTTAACAAGTTCAGGCCACCAACAAAGAGACCGTACTGAATTATCACTCGTATGCTAGGCGTTGTAGTGAGGATATATATTGCATTTAAGTAGGTTTAAACAGATACTTCCAAAAACTGGGCGAATTATAGCTGCAATAATGACCACAACAGCCGGATGGTACCAAAATTATAGAAAATTAATAATCTGTCTTCCGTCCAGCTTACGAGGCGGCTTAGAATAAACTGTGGATCTATTCGTTTGTGGGAAAAATAAAACCGTAAGTCGCAAAGTTACAAAGATTGACTGAGTTTAAACGCGGTAGGGCATGTCTGTCATAAGAGTCCCCCGAGAATTGGATGTTTATACCGGAACAATCCGCAGCATACCTGAAAAACCACTTTGGGTTTCGACAACAAAAATATTATTACCATTATTCCACTGCTGATTTTGAAATTTCAAAAACTTATACTTTTTCAATAAATACTCGATACTAGTTAATTTGCCTATTCAATTTCACGCAGATCAGACCCAAATGATGACCATTTTGGAGGCTTTCAAAGAGTATCACGACAAAACTTGTATTAGATTTCGACCTTATGAAAAAGGTGACACCAATTGGATTATTATAAAGGGTAACTATACTGGCTGCTGGTCCAGTGTTGGGCGCCGACAGGGAGGGCAGGTGAGCACCTTTCCATAGAGATTTTATAGAGTCTGTATCAATGCATCCATTATCCACAGGTACTCAACCTCAACACGCCCCGTTGCGTTTCGCATGGCATTATTGTGCACGAACTGCTGCACGCACTCGGTTTCTATCACCAACAAAGTTCGACGGAACGTGATGAATATGTGAAAATTAATTGGGAGAATATACTCGATGGTCACGCACACAATTTCAACAAATACGCACGAACACATATAACGAATTTCGGCATTGAATATGATTATCTAAGTGTTATGCATTACAGCTCGAAGGCGTTTACCAAAAATGGCAAGCCGACAATAGAACCTTTGGTAAAAGGAATAATAAAGTTCAATTCCATTGGTTGTCGGTTGTAGTAATTTTATTTATTTATCATTTTCTAACCTTCTAGGATCCTTACGCTTCCCTGGGCCAACGCAGAGGTCTCTCCAAAAAAGACATATCCAAGTTGAATGAAATGTACCAAGACGACTGTAATGTGGATTATCTTTTCAGTTTTGATCGTTTCGGCTCATATTTAGATGAAATTTTGGAATATTTTCAAAACAGTTTATTTAGTCGGAATCGTCCGTATGATGAGGGTACAAAAAATGTAAAAAATTAAATGTAATTCTATACATTTGTATACATACATATAAAAAATGTTGAGTATTTAAAATATAAAATCGTAAATTATAGCAAAGAAAATTTCAAATTAAACTTATTAATCTCATAGTTCTGTAGTCGTTTATATTAATTGTACGTAATTTATGCATAGAAAGTAAAATGTCGCAACTCTTCCAAAGTGTTTTCAGCAATCTGCGTATGAAAACAAAGATTAATACGCCATAAAAAATTAGGGGAAAAAATAGCTCACCGCCCGCACTTCGGTATTCTCATCATCGGCTAAAGTTTGAATTGCTTTTTTAATATCCGTACACCAGATACTTTGTAAGCCGCGTAGACTAAAACGCGCTAACAAGCGGAAGAGCATACAAATGCGCATGCGCACCAAATCATCTACATTGGTGAACAAAACCAATAAATCCAATTTACTGCTGAAGATGACTTTCTCCACTAAATCTGCATTTTCCGGCAGCTCACGCAGTACGCACGTCAAGAGACCCAATATGCAATTGGAAATGCGCACAGCACTGCCATTTTTGAAATCTAAAATTAAAAGAATTGCGTATTAAATTATATAATTTACCAGCTCGGAAACCCACCATGTTGTAAGAGATTAATGAGTAATTCATTAGCCGCCAGTATGGCCACTGCATCACAGAATTGTGAGAGGAACTGTTGTTTCAAATGCACTAGGTGGCATATTAGTTCATATAGACACAAAGTTGTGCGTATTTCTTCGCTATCTAGTTCGTCTATTGAACGCACAGCGCGTCCGCCATGTGACTGCGTGATCGAAGCGCTGGAATCGCCGGTGCCTTTATGACAAATCAACAATTTGGAAGCATACATGAGATTCGGCACAAGTTTAACATCAATATACACCTAAAAACCGTTAGAGTTTAGTAAGCTTTATTTTAACGTAGTATAAGCTAATTAATTACGTTTTGAATGAGCTCAACAACGCATGGTGACTCATCGGCTACAAACGGCAGTGAAAGCAGCTGCGCTACACTTGCAATCACTTTGGGTATGGCTTTGGAATTACGTAACGGCGCTACTATGATGCTTACCTATTTAAGTAATTTGTACAAAACTTTTTAGTTACAAAGTATTCGGCATTTTTTGCTCAGTATTTACCAAATTATGTTGCTTCAGCGAGTCCAATTCACCGTCCAGTACTTCCTGCATTGTGCGATTTAAAAACGCAAGCCACTCATCATTTTCAATGGGTGGACTTTGCGACTCATCACAGGAATCCCAGCCAGGCAGCAGACAGGGTGGTGAATTTCTAATAAAAAAAAAAAATAAAGCAAATTTGTTTAAAAAAAATGTTATTTCACTTTAGCTATAAACTATTTACTCTGTGCTACGCTTCTCTTCTGCTGAGTGTGCCATACCCTTACTACCCTTTTGCTCCTTCTCTTTATCTCTGTCCTTATCCCTTTCTCTACGCTCATTAGTTTTCCGCTGTGTCTCGACATCTATACTCTGTCCCAAGCGCAAAGAGAAATTGTCCAAATTTTGACTTAGCTTGCGTTTTTCTAAATCTTTGCTACGTAGTGACTTGGTGTTTAAATTTGTTGGAGCTGTTGGCGTTGTGTCTTTCAGCTTGGTATTCTCATTGGGAGACTTTTGTTGCTTTTGGGTTATTTGTTGTGGTGGTGATGAATTTAAGTTTCCTGTGTAAACGAAATTATCATTCATATGATTGAGTATCATATTTGTATTGCCGCTGACAAAGCAGGTTTGAGAGTTAATCACTGGCGCTGCAGCTGCTGCTTCTGTTACAATATTGAAATGTGGTATAACTATATCGCCTTGATGATGTTTTAAATTTTTTTCATCCCTGAAAGATTGATCTGCGAATGGCACGGTAACCGAATTGATGTTTTCCTCAATATCGGTTTCAAAATTCTCAATATCGCTTGGCGGTATGGCATTAATACTGTCACGTGAAGAGGTGAGATTATCGTTGGTGCACTGAGAGGTTTCTGTGAGTTTCATTGCTGCGATTTGCTTAGAGAGCTCGTTCGCTTTAGAGGTGGAACTGAAATGAAATAGAAATAAGTTTAGTCACTAGTGTAAAGTGATAAATTTACTATGTTACCGTTGATTCTGTGAGCTTTTTGTATTCTTTTGCTTTTGCGGATTTGTGAATGGCGAGTTGTTCGCTTTAATGCCGGAAATGAAAAGTTTGCCTTCAACGAAGGGGTGACATAATATTTGTGTCCACGATATGCGTAATGATGGATCTTTCTCCAATAAACCCTACAATTTAAATACTTTTACACAACAATTCCAAGTAATTACGTTTATTCACTAACCTGCAGAAACGAACGACAATCGCTACTCAAAAAGCTTGGCCACTTCACCTCTTCATGTTTTATCAATTTTACCAAATGCAATATGGATGTTGTGCAGAAGGGCGGCGCACCAGCCATACACTCATAGGAAATACAACCTAGCGACCATAAATCCGCCTGGTGATCATATGGTTGTTCACTCAGCAGCTCAGGCGCCATATATAACGGTGTACCTTTGATGGAAGTGAGCACATGTGTGCCCATAGTCATATTGCGAGCCAAACCAAAATCGCACAACTTAGCGTGCAAATCTTCATTGAGCAAAACATTCTGTGGTTTCAAATCACGATGTAGTATCCGATTGGAATGTAGGTAGTAAAGTGCGGAGACCAAATGGCATATAAGTCGTTGTGCTCTATCTTCCGACAAAGCACCATTTCTTGCCAGATAGCGATGGAGATCGATGAGTGCAAACTCAGTGACTACAATTAAATCGTTTTTGGTTTCAAATGACTCCAACATTTCGATGACATTTGTATGCTTGAGATGCGCTTGAATTTCACATTCACGGCGTAGGTTTTTCAATTCACGACTACTGCGACCGCGCTGTTAACATAGAAAGTTTTCATTATACACACGGCGTTTGCTTATATTTATGGATTATTATCGACATTTTTACATTTTTTATTGTACTAACCTTAGATATAACTTTTATGGCTACAACTTGTGCATCATCTTTACGTATGGCTTTGTAGACTCGCCCAAAGGAACCTTCGCCTATTAGTGCACTTACGGTGTAGCGATTCATCGTCTCCAAATGCACTTACAAGAGTCCTTTATGTCAAATATTTTTTATTTATTGCTCACAAGCATTAAGTACATATTTTCACGTACGGCTTCTTGGTTTCGCTGTTTACCCTTTATTTTTGTTTATTTGTTTTGTCGGCATTCACACTTGCAATGATTTTTTAATATTTTGTTTTCGCAAAAAAATTATTTCCCCTCTGTCAGCAGTTGCAATCAAATTCTACGAAAACAGCTATCAAAACAAACGTAACTTGTTGCGCTATTCTTACGTGAACAGCTGTACCGGCTATTTGTAAAAAGTAGTTATATCATCTGCTACCTTTTTCCCACAGCGATATTTAAACACTGGTCGAATTGTATATAAGCAAGAACATATGTGTACGATGATAATCAGTGACGTTCATAAGTTAAATAACTCAATTACAAAGTTTTTTGAATTAATATATACTAACACATAGCCTAAGAAAATAATACGTTTACACAATAAAATTAATGTTGGCATTGATAAGGTAAAATGGAGTGCCATCAAGTGTTTGTAAATAATTCGGTTTTTTTCATGCTTTGTTAAATACATTCTTTAAGTGCTCGACATAGTGGAAACTGACGTGTAGGTTAATTAGCGCATATGTGGACACGCATCTCGAGAGTTTATTGGACACATATCATTAATCAAACTGCCGTTTTCCCAAAATAGAACAATTTTTGTTTTCGCACAGACAGTCTGAAAGTTTAGTAAGCCTTCAATCGTATGAATAAAAGCGCTGGCCTTCATACGACTAGTAAACAAAGATTTCGGATAACTTTTGGCCAGAACATAAATATATTAATATGTATATACAAGTGTTGTAGGAGTGAAAACGTACATACATATTTGTGTATGCATCTGTATTATCGCAAGTTCCAATAACATGTAAACCCAATCGTGTGCATGTGCTTACATTCCAACACTTACTGGTTTACTACTCTCTCCCCATAAACTGCTCTCAAAAATATTCCTCCACTTAAATTCTGTTGACGAAAGTTTAGAATATAAACAAAAAAAAATAATAATGTAGAGACAAGCTGAGCATATCAGAAAAGTCCACGTATGCTTGTTATTCCAAACGATAAATGCTAAATGCTATTTATAATCTAAAACAAAAACAACATATAATTTTCTTATTACTGTCGTCTCTCGAATAGTATGTCCCCAACTACATATAAGGAGTAGTTTCCACAACGTCGTCGGTGTAGTGTTTAGTAATCACTTACAGCGATAACGTCTTATAAAGTGCATTTAGTAAATATTTTATTAAAAATAATCTTGTAAATTTGTAGTTATTGAAAGCAATCATGAGCCTTTCGGAGATTTCCAGCAAGTTTACTGAAAAAACTTTGGATGAAATTATACAGAAATCAGGTGGCACTAAGCACACCTCATACAAATTTGGCGAAGGTTTTAAGAAGGGCGATTCATATCTGAGCAGAGTATACCGGCTTACCGTTTACGGTGTGAAAGAAAGTGATGGGTAACTATTAAAGATAATTTAAAACCATTTTATTATTGATTAAAATTAATTTTTCTATTGTTTGATTTTTTAGCTCTACACTTGAAGTACACTTAATCTGTAAAGGGATGCCGGACAATATGGCCCGCAGAAAAGTTTTCCATTCAGCTGATTTTTTTCGGAATGAAATAAACTTCTATACAAAAGTTGTACCTGCCTGGGAGTCGTTCCAAGCGCGTCGTAAACCCGCCAATCCATTTAACGAATATCCAAAATGCCTTGCGTCGCATTGTGATGGTGAAAATGATTTTATAGCATTAGAAAATGTGAATTACCGCGGTTATGGCGCGCCCAATCGCCAGGATTATATATCTTTGGAGGATGCTATATTAACAATGCGTACATTGGGTCGCTTCCATGGCGTTTCGTTGGCATTCCGTGCGTTAGAACCGGAAAATTTTGAGGCAGCGGCACGAGGTTTGGAGGTGAATCACTATATACATATTATATTGCTTATATAACAACAAAAATTTCTAATACACATATAATTTAGGAAACATACTACAATGAAGCCAAGCGTTCCTGGTATATTGGTTTCCTCGGCTTGGCCTGCAATGTGGCCAAAGATGCTGTGGAGAAAACCTATGGTGGCACCAAATACGAAACTATCGCTAAAAAGTTCCTACAACCAACACCACTGTATGATGATCTTATTAAACTCGTATCTGCAGATTGTAAGTAGTTCTTGTATACGAAAATTCGAAATATTTTACTTATGGAATATGGAAAAAACAGCTCCACTTGCGGCTATTGGACATGGTGACTGCTGGACTCCAAATTTCCTGACCCGTTACTCGAAAGACAAACATCCAGAGGCTATTGTTATAATAGATTTCCAACTAGCGCGTCGAGCTTCCATTGCTTTGGATATATCTTTCTTCGTATATTCCTGTACGAGTGAAGAGCTACGCGTATCTCACTATGAGCAGCTCTTGAAAGTATGTTATTTTCTCTGAATAAATTTCTTGTTTTAATGATAAATTTGAATATTTATAGGAGTACCACCAAAGTGCTTGTGCGTTGATAGCCGAGTTAGGTGCTAATCCAACTGAGGTTTTGAGTTGGCAAGCATTCCAAGAAGAATTGCGGCAATTCGCACGTTTCGGTTGCGGAATGGGTATCGAATCACTGCCAATGTCACTCGCTGAAGACGATGAAATCGCTGACTTAGATGACATGAAAGAGGATGCTGTACTCACAGATGTCTGGGATATTAAACCGTTCAAAGTACAAAGCAAACGTGAACGCGTTGCTCAGATTTTCAAACATGCTATCGATCAAAATTATATAACAAACTGAAGTGCAAAAATCACGTAACAAAACTACACACATTAATATGTACGAAATAAGGTTTTTGCCATTGCATATATTCCTACAAATATTTAAGATAAAAAGTATTAAAAACAATATATACAACTTTTTTATTTCTTGTACAAATTTTAATAAATATACACATACATTTCTACAAACACTGACCCTCATTTAGCACACACCATTTCGGTATAACTGCATCGGACCTAATACCACGTGATAAAAGTCGCTCACGGTAGCGCAAGAATCTTGTCTGCACTAGCAGACTGGACAATTTCGGATTCGCCCATAGTCGTTCTGCAGCAGCGCCAGCACGTGGCCATATACGTGACTCTGTGTAATAATATATTTATTTGTATAGTCTTTACTAAGCATATATAATCGTTCAATCATATACAAATTCAAATATCCATTGCCACTCACCCACAGACGTTTGATCCACAAACTCACTCCACATGCAAACTTCTCCACCCAACACCAGCGGATGCACTTCCATGCGGTTATCATAAACCTTTTTCCAATTATGATACTCCGTACGTCCCCAGAAACCATGATCCAAATACCAAGCATCCTTTGTTGAAACTATAATGCGGTAACCCTTCAGCAACAAATCGTTGTTAAGCGTTTTATCTGACTCCACCCATGTTTGTATGATGTAACGCTCTTTGGGCAAGTGCTCCGTTATGATTTCTGGATCTGTTAAATGACTCGACCACAATATCACCGATTTGGGTACCTGATTACGTGTCGCATACTGTCGTTGCGTTACATTATCCCATGAATCCAAGTTCTTTTGATGAAATTCTGCCCACAATTTATAAAAACTACGTAAACTCAAATCAAAACCCGTATCATGCATACGACGCGTGATCTCTTCTGTACGATTCCAACATGGTATGAACACCTCATCACCACCCATGTGTATCGTCTCTTCCGGTGCATTGACCTCGACAAGATCTTCGTAGATCTCCTTCATTATGCCATACATATTCTCGTTAAGTGGATTTAATTGACCACACGGTGGCTCAATGCAATACGAACGCCAGGGTTGTTGATTAACACACACAGCCATGTTGCCCAGTCCGGACATGGGACCCCATTGCCAACCGTTGCCCGCATGTGAGGGCCCATCGATTTCGATGATGATGCGTATGCCGCGCAGACGCGCATAACGTACCATATTCTGAGTGTCGGTGCGGGAGTAAACCAAGTCGGGGTGGTAGGCGCCGAATCTGTGAAGAGAGAAAATCGAAAACGAAATCATGGGTATAAAGAGGTAATTAAATCGTTCAGTTGTATATATGTAAGAAAATATTTAGTAACATTTGTTTCAACGTAATTCAAAAAAATATAAAAATTACAAAATTTAAATAATATTTAATTAAATGTTTAATATCTACCCAATTCGGTTTTATCTATTTTGCACCTTTATATCCTTCATTTATGTATTTCTATAAATTTTTTAATGTAATTTCATTTATTTGATTTAAACTTATTTAATCTATTATGTTTTTTTATTATTTAATATTATTTTTTTTATTATTTAGTATTATTTTTGTTATTATTTAATATTATTTTTTTATTTCAATTATTTTTTACTTTATTTTACTTCCCACTATTTAATTGTATTTTATATGTATATAAATATGTTTTATATTCTTTAATTTTATTTTATTTATTTATCTTTAATTATTATTATTATTTAAATCAATTTTATTTTATTTATATTTTATTATCTGTTTTAAAATATTTCATTTTGTTATATTTTACTTAATTTTATTTTTGATTATGCTATTTCATTTTATTTATTCCATTTAATTTTATTCTATGATTATATCTATATTTTCGTAAAATTATATTTAATTCTATATTATTTAATTTATTTTATTATTATTATGTTCTTTATTTAATTTTTTGTTTTATTTGTTTTTTATTATTTTTTTATTATATTTTATTTTCTTTATTACGGTATTTTTTTCTATTTTATGTTATCCAATTTTATTCTATAAATAAATATTATTTTATTCCAAAAATTTATTATATTTGTTTAATTTCCATTTTGCAGTTTTATTTCCTGCACTTAGATATATATATAGTTTTATACATTTTCTGATGAATTTTGTTTTATTTCAATTTAACTTAGTTAACTTACTTTTTTATTTAATATTAATTAATTAATTTCTCAATTTAGTTATGTAATTTATTTAGTTTCATTAAATATTTTATTTTAGTTAACTTCATTTAATTTCAGTTTTTTTATTTCAAAATGTTATTGTTTTTTATTCAATTATATTTTATGTTATTTTATTTTTCACTATTTGATTTTATTTAATATATGTATAATGTATATATATAATTTCTATATCTTATTTTTTTTATTTAATTTTTATACCCTTTATTTTATGGAATTTTATAATATTTTTTCCTTTTCTTCTTTTATTTCATTTTAATTTGCTTTAATTTATTTCATTTCATCTATTTTAATATACTTTGTTTATTTTCCTTTCCAGCTCATTCAGTTCGGCTTAATTCTACTAAATATTAAAAATTACTCACTGTTGTAATTCTGGTACTCTGGTGATTTCCAACGGAAAGCTCTGGGTATCAACCACATGCCAATGCAGCACATTCAGCTTTGATGCCGCCATACCGTCCAGAACTCGACTTATCACCTTCAGTGGCATATAATTACGGGCAGTGTCCAAAAGCAAGCCACGATGAGGATATATAGGACCATCACGAACTCGCGCTGCTTTGACCATCACGAGACCATTACTTTTCCAAAACAAAAATCAAAAACAAACCAAAAATGCATCATTATGTAAGTGAATCGCAGCCAACATAACATGTACACCACATACTTCTTACTCCCTGTTATGAGATTACTTAATGTCTCCAGCGCATGTCTGGCGCCGTAAACTGTTTGTGCTTTGACATCGACGAAGGTCGCCATATCTGTTTGCAAAAAAAATGAGAATGAAATAAACATTTCTTCACTGTGCCTCGCTTGCTCTCGCACCTGTGGTTCGCAAACTCAGCTGATACGTTTCGTTGGTGCCCCAATCCAGTACCAGACTATTCGTACTCACTGTCGTCTTTACGTACACCTCTTTACTGCTTGGCAGTGAACAATTCCGTATGCACTCCTTGAGAATATTACTCAGGAATATGCGATTTGATTCACGCATATATTGTGTACTAGCGGCATCTGGCGCCACCACATTGAAACGCACTTTCCATGGGTCGAAGCGAATGCGTTCGTTCGATAAGTTACAATCTCCGGTGGGCATTGGCCAAATGGCACCATATCGGCCGCAGGATAAACGGCAATCATTCTGACTCTCGAAACGCTTGACGTCACCAATATTAGACGCTTGATCGATGACGCATAAATCTGTTGAGGTGCAGATCCATTTGACGCTTTTGAATAGAGAATTAAGAGAATTTGGGATTGGTGAAGATAAATATGAATTTTGAAAGATTAATAAGGCTCCATAATGCATTCTGCGACTACTACTATGAATCTTGCCAGTGGTTATATATTATGATTTTGAAATTATTACCGTTAGAAATTTAAATTGCACACTCTTCAAATTGACTAATTTTCCACTTTGTTTGTCATTTATCAATAGCTCACCTTTCATCGGCCGCATGTGCTGTGGTCACTAGAAGTAACACACCAATGACCAACTGCAGGAGTCCACTTGTTGTTGTTGTCATTTTAAAGTATTTTTATTCACAATTTTTTTGTTTTTAGTTGTTTTTATTTCGGCTTCAGAGTATTTTTTAAATACATTTATAAACCCACATAAGCGTCTGTCTGATGACCAATTTAATGAGCGGACCAATTATATTGCTTTTTAAAAATAAATAAATCGTTTTAAATGGCTTCTGGACCAACTATGCGAATGTTCACACCGCTCGTCAAGCAGAAACGATTGCAGAGTTGTAAAGATTTTTGGAAGTTGTGCCAAGAAGAAGAGCCAAGATAAGTTAGTGTGCGTTCACTCCGCTCGGATTGCGTGGGATGCCTCAAATGCTACTGGATTTACAGAAATTGACCATCCATCTTGCCGACCGAACCTGGCTCCCATTGAACTTTTCCTTTGTTTTAATTTGGAAAACGGATACGAAGATTTTCAGACGACAGTCAGATGAAATGGCCGAAGAAACCCATTTTGAAGAAAATATTTTTTCAGTAGGCGGCCGCGGTAGCCTAGTGGTTAGAATTGCGTACTGTCATTCGGAAGTACGCGGGTTCAAATCCCCGTGCGACCAACATCAGAAAGTTATAGAAAGTTAATTTATATAAAAAACTAAGTAAAATTTTCTAATTGCGGTCGCCCCTCGGCAGGGAATGTCAACCCCTCCGAGTGCACTTCTGACATGAAGTGAGGGGTTCTCGTAAAGCCGTTCGGCGGCGGCTTAGTATAAATTGTAGGTCCCTCCATTTGTTAGAAAAACATCAAGACCACAATTTGGAGGAAGAGCCCGGCCGAAAATCGCTTCAGTGGTTACAAAGCGCCAATTAAAGGCATTGTATTCACGATGTGAATATGTCTCATACAGCTCATGGTTCTCTTGGCTGCGGTAATCGCCGTTGCGAAAGGGGAAAGAGGACCATAAATCTTTCTCATAAACTCCCAACACCGTCTCATCAGATGTTGTCCATGGTTCAGACGGTAATGTTGAGCGAAGTTTGGTCTTCGATCATCGGAAGAGGACTTCACTTGCACCTGTTGACCAGGTTGAATTCGGGGTGGGCTTCCAGGCTGAGATTGATAGAAGGAACATATAACTAATGGGCCATATTATCAGCGATCAACGGCTTTCGCGCTTGCGTTAAAAAATAGTGCTTTTGTCAGTTTGATGAGATTTGCTTCAAAATTAAGTAAATTCAATTAAAAGAAGAATAACAATTTTTAACGGTGCTTTCACTGGGCAGAACGATGAACTCATTTTCAACTCTATAATAAGTGATAGGAGCTTTTAAAAGATGTAAACCGTTCAAATCATCCGGCACGAATAAAAGCTTTCCCATTTACATGGAGAATCGATCCCGCCTGGCACGAAGCCAAGGTGATTTTCATTCTGAATCCCGATAAGGATTGCTCTCTACGAAAGTCATATACACCGATCAGTCTGCTAAGAAGTATTGAAGGAATTTGCGCCGATTGTACCAAAAAACTGTTCTACATAAAGTATTCGGGACAATTAAGGAATCCAATAATAAACGAGAGTACTCCTTGACGGCATTGACGTGAAGAGAGCTTTCAATAATTCAAACATCACTGCATTGATTTCGTGAATTTCTTCATTTAGAATCAACCAAGACACATTTGCCCGCTTGGGGCGCATGTTGAGCAAAATGAATGTGAAAGTGCTGAAACTATACAGGAAATCACTTGTGGCAATGCGACATCTCTTTCATAAGCCAACTACCAGTGTGCTGCTTTGAAGATTTGGTCATCCCCATTTTCGGGCAAACGAATTGATAGGGAAATCTATTTGGTTTCTCGTTAATAGACAAGAGGCAACTAGGTCGATTAAACGCTTCAATCAAAAGTCAAAATTTGTCAGAACATGCAAGAAGGCAACTCACAGACTATCACCTTACTTAAGTCCCGGGGGAGAAACAGACTCGCACTGGAGCTGCGGACTGCTTCCGGTTCGTCAGTGCCTCTTTAAGGTCAACCACGGACAGGTCTTCAATCTTTTCTTGGAAGGTTAAAGGAAGGCTTAGTTTAGCGCTTATTAGAGCGCCAACATCGAGTACTTCATTGTCCTAGCAGTGGGGCCATAAGCGTATAAACTAAATGTTCAAGACTTTATTTCCGTTATTTTTTTTTTACTTCGATTCCCTGCAGAAAAAATCTCTCTTTCATTTTGCATTAAAAAGTGAATGTCTTTGCTACCTAATAAATCTCACAAATAAATGTAAAAAATCCAAATTTTGTACTCTTTAAATTTGATATCTAAAAACTTCGAAAATTACACGAAAAAAAATTCTTGGAGAAATTTATTTTTGACGCGCTGTGCAAATGCTGCAACACAAACGTACATATGTACATATCTAAATATGTGACACATGTATTTATGTGCATTATTTTTATGTGTTTAAGCGACATTTGCATGCAAATAAATAAATCTTTTAAATATCAGTAATGAATTGCAATTCTTACTCTCTGCCACACAATGCAAGTTATTTACATGCAAACATATTTACGTTTCGTGATAAATTATTTCACAGTTATCATGTACATATGTATGTACGTATGTATTATTCACATATTCTTCTTCTTCTTGCTTAACATTCTTCACACTCAGCTCGTAAAACAAAAACAATGGAAGAAATGAAAACTTTTTCGCATCTTCACTTCTCTAATTAAGCTACTAAACATATGCATATGTGTGTATGTATGTACACGTATGTATGTTTGTTTGCTTCTATTTAGATCACTACTTCAATATTGCATGCGTGAGATTTTTTGGCGTTTGTCCATTTAAACAACAATAAAACACCCTCAATTTACATATGCCGAACAATAAACAATATGTACATATGTGTGTACGTATGTATTTAGACTAGAATTGAGTTGAAAATCGCGTTCTCCGTTAGACGTTGCCGCACGATCACAAACAATTTTTAAATTCAAAGTTTTTACTGTTGTTGCTGTTGCTTGCCACTACACTGAACGCGCTCGATCACCGGTCTTCCATGCAATTGGAACCGCTGCAAAACCTCAACTAAGCGCTTCGGAGTGCACGTCACAAGCCTAGCTCAGACATACAATATCTGCACCAAGAGTTACTTATTGTGTGTAAGTCGGTATGTCGGTATGTGAGCTTGTAGACAGTGTGTGTGTTCATATGTTTGCGAAAAGTACTACAGTGCATTAAAAATAAATAAAAAACGATTGTATTTTGTTGTACGGAATTCTGGCATGACTATCTGCAGACTGGCGCAAAATGAATGGAAAATATCGCCATTCTCATTATTGGTTTATATTATTTTCTTCTATTTAAATTTATTTTATTGAATTTTGCTTCATAATTATAAAACTAATTTATTTTTTTTTTACTTTTTATTTTACATTATTGTTATAATTATTTATTTACCGATTGTAATTTAATTCATTTATTTTAACTTATTTAATTTTTCTTGCTTTAATTTTAAATTCTTCATTTTATTTTTTTTTATTTTTTTTTTTATTTCATTTCATCTTATTTAGTTTTAATTATGTTTTTAATCATAATTTTATTTTAAGCTTTAATCTTTTTTCTTAATTCATATTTTAACTTTAGCTTTAATTTTAACCTTAATTTAATTGATTTCACTTTGATTTATTTAATTGGATCGTTGATTGTTTTTTTTTTTTTGCTATAAATTTTAATGCTAATATATTTATTCACCTTATTTCATTTATTTAACACTTACTAGTTTTTTATTTTGGTTATTTCATTTTGTTTTGCTTTAATTTATAATATAATATTTAAATTTAATTTTATTTTCTCTTATTTCACTTTAATTAATTTTTCTTTATTTTGCTTAATATTCTTTTATATTATTTTATTCATTATTATTTTATTTATTTGATTTTTTTTGCAGTTTCATGTTTTTATTCTATTTTATTTTACTAAAATTTATGTTGGTTGATTTTATATTAATTTATTTCATTCCCATTATTTATTTAATTTTATTTCGTTTCTCGTTTTATAATTGTAATTAATTTTTTTTAATTTATTTTGCTTCATTTTATTCAATTTTGTTTGACATTATTTTATTTTATATTTTTTACAATATTTTATTTTACTTAAATTTACTATAATTTTTATTCTATTTTATTTTACTTTAGCTTATTTTATATAAATTTTTTAAATAATTTTATTTTTATTCTTTTCTATTTTTATTTGATTTTATTTCATTTTGCTTTATCGAATTATTTTTAATTTTTTACTTTATTGTATTTATTTCACTTTATTTTGTTTTATTTTTTTTCTTTCATATTAATTAATTTAATTTAATTTAACTTAGTTTAATTTAATTTTTTTGTTAATTAATTAAATTTGATTTAATTTTATTTAATTTTTTGTCATGTAATTTAATTTTATTTCATTTAATTTTAATTATTTTATTTTATATGAATTTAGTTTTATTTTCTCTTATTTTATTTCATTTTCTTTAATTGAATTAAATTTAATTTAATTTAATTTTATTTTATTTAATTTTATTTATTTTATTTTATTTTATTTTATTTTTTTTATTTTATTTTATTTTTTTATTATATTCTCTTTTTTATTAAATTTTTCTTTAAAATTATATTATTAATTTTTTAATTCTTTTTTGAATTTTAATGCTTTTTAACTGTTTTATTTTATTTAAGTATATTTTAATTACTTTTTTAGTTTTACTTAATTCTAATTATTTATTTTTAATTTTCTTCTATTTCAATTTATTTCAATTCCTATTTCTTTCTTTAATTATATATTTTTTTATTTATTTTATTTTTTTCCTATTCTATTTTATTTTCTATTATTTTATATTATAATATTTTATTAAATTTTGCTTTATTTAGAGTTTTTTAAATTGCTCTCTATATTTTATTATATACATTATTTTATTTTTTCTTACTTTAGTTAATTAAACTTTTTAAATGTAATTTATTTTATTTCGCTTTTATAGTTTCATTACATTTTGTTTTATTTTACATTTTTTTTAATTTAAATTTTGATTTGTTTGAAATCATTTCTTTAATTATTTAATTCTTCATTTTAATTTTTAATTTCGTATTGGTTTTTTTTCGTTTTTTGAATTCATTTCTTTTATTTTGTATTTATTGCACTAAACTACTTAATTTTCTTTGCCTAATGTTACTAGTTTTCATCTAATACAATTTACTATAAGGTATGTACATAATTAAATATGCATTGATATTATATTTTTAGAACAAATTAAGTTGAGGAGGATTGTGCGGACCGAGGTGTGGAAAAGGCATGCCGTCAAAAGACTCAATTAAATATGGACCCTATTTTGTACAATTATTATTAGCTGCATTGTTGTCGAGTTATGGTCTTTGTGGACAACAACAAATAAAGACATACATAACATACATATGAACTGTATGTATGCTCTGTATGACAAAGAGAGAGCTATAAAGTCCAATCATCTACACGATTGTGTGCAAAACTACTAAACAGAAACAATAATCTGAGCTACAATATAAACAATAAACAATAAAAATAAAGAAAAAACATTGCAGCCCACGCTCTTCAAGCTTATACGGTCGGTCTTAAAAATTAATCAATACTCAAGAAAGAAGTTTCAAATAATCCGTCGTCCGCAAGTTAGCACTAAATAAGGTAAGAAATGGAAAAAATTAATGTCATTTGGGGATAAATCTAAGTCAAAATTTCGGCGAGAACACATTCCAATAATTTTTTTTGCTGCCACATCTCTTCGTAGAAGCATTCGTCTAGTTACCCAGATGGCTCAATATTTGTGGCAGATTTTTCTTCCCACCTCTCTTCCATCAGGATGGGAGTTCAATCAATTTAGAGAAAAGGAGACCTAATGAATTATAACTTTAACTCTAAATTTCTTCTGAGCAGTCACAGATCTTTATAAGATATATAGAAAGTGGAAGCCTATATTATTCGCCAAGTTAATGTGAGAAAAAGCTTCTCCTTAATATCCAACTGCTGCAGCTGTCTTAATTGGAATCCTTTCAGTTTCTGAAGCTTGTCAGCTTCATAATGTCACGCTGTTTATACCTATCGCCGCAAGTGATCCTCACGAGTAATGGGAATAATGCCTCCACGTCATGCAAGAGGATTAGACTGAAATTTAGGGAACGCATTTAGCTAACTGTATTCCCTAAAAGCATTAGTGCTCCTAACCTAAAAATAATAAACAACTAATTACAATTAAAACTTTTATTTTTTATGAGCAATTTCTAAGTGATTTTCACTCGGTAAATGCCCACTGTGCAACATAACTTTTTAATTCGTATTTCACTAAAAAAAAAGTGTCAATATCAATAACTGTTACTTTCGCTGCGTTCAGATGTTCATGTGGGCATGTGTGTGTATACATACATACGTGTAGGTGAGTACGCGCCCAGTGATATTTGCCCACTCGATCGGCCGGTTAAATGCTTTGCCAACTGTAAGCATTGGATTTAATTCCATGCATATCTCTTACACTTGGCACGGCGCGGCGTCCCATTGTCATTCACCTTCAAAATGAGTGCGTATGCTCATGTCGTGCATAAATGTGTGTGTGTGTGTGCGAATATGCAAAAGCTCCAACTCATTAGTAAACAAATACATACTTACATCTACTATTAGCGTGTGAATTGCAAACCAATCGACTAGTCTGTCTATTAAAATAAGATAAAGACTTAATTAACCTATGTATGTACGAGTATAATACACCGTTGATTGTAACAGTTTTCGCTATTTTATTTTATGTGATTTCTTTTTGTACTGTTACAAGGCAAGCGAACGGACATTACTTTGGCGGAACGTTGAGTGGATTGGTATGAGCGGAGTATTTAAGTAACCGTCTGATACAATAAGATCCAGCTCTGAGATGGGCATTACAGGGCTTTGGAACTGACTGAATTTCCTTTCTCTCGTTTATTTCTTGGCCGTTCGACACCGTTTGAAGACACCAAGTGAAGCCACTTCTCCACTTGATCTTTCAACAAAGTGGAGGCCTTTCGCTTCCTTAGCTTCCACCAGCGGTTATTGCTTCGAAGACTTTCTAAGTTATAGATGTGAAGACAAGAGGTCCGTCTCGCTTCTTTTCTCAATCTGTAGAAAGCATCATCAGCATACACCAGTACATTTTTATGGAGTGACATGGAAAAGAGTCAAATTGTATGAAACTTAGCTTTATGTCGAACAGCTCGGAAAGGTCTCACTCGATTCTGACGGAGCGTTTGATAATGCTTGACATCAGTTTACACAGGCGAATATGTTTATGTGATCAATTACAGATTTATGGCTTAGACCTGAAGTCACGCTGACAAGGTACAAACAGTGCATTGATAGTAACTTTTGTCCTTCATCGGACCAATATCGGACTCGCCATTTGCTGATCATTCACTTTCACTGTCATTCAGGAGGCTAGGGAAGTGTTCACTTCATAAACTTTTTATAAACTGGGCAGTTTACCGCTTTGTGTCTTACATGGGTTATCTCCGTGATTGAAGTCTTCTGTATATAAGTATCCGCAGATCTTTTAATAATTATCACTGGGGAGCACATTCGGGCTGTAGGGTGGAGGACTCCAAAATGTCGTATCCCATCTTATGCAGGGCAGTCATAGCAACGCGGCTGTTGTGGAATCACGTGTTGCCTCACAGAAGCAGGGCGCCTTCTTTAATTTTCTACCGACCTTTTTAATTTAATGTTTTTTTTTTTAGTTTCTCTAACGCCGAAGTGTGGAAATCTCCAGTTAGTGAATATCGTTTATCTTCATAATCGATCAAGAATATTCCTTTTGAGTCCCATTATATAGACTGTGACCTTTAAAACTTCTTGGGAGGAGCTGTGTTCTTTTATTCCACTACATGGAGTCTTGTTGCCACTCAGGTTCATAATGATAAGCCCAAACTTCGTCTGTAGTAACAATTCGACCCAATACACCATCTTTGGCTTCATTGCAGAGGTGCAAAAAAGCACCGGAATTTCCTACACACTTTTTGCGCTGACCTTAGTCATGCCCAGATGATCATGCAAAATTTTAGAAATGGTTGTATCGGATATATCTTT